TGGCCCTAAGTAACAGTTCTCTGGCACTCAGTAACATTCTGTCTATCCCTGAGTAACAATTCTGTGGCCCTAATAACGTTTCTGTGGCCCTAAGTAACAGTTCTGTGGCCCTCAGTAACAATTCTGTGTCTGTCCCTGAGTAAAAATTCTGTGGCCCTAACTAACGTTTCTGTGGCCCTAAGAAACAATTCTCTCTGGCACTCAGTAACAATTCTGTCTGTCCCTGAGTAACAATTCTGTGGCCCTAACTAGCGTTTCTTTGGCCCTAAGTAACGAATTCTGTGGCCCTCATTAACAATTCTGTGTCCCTGAGTAATGTTTCTCTGTCCCTAAGTAACGTTTCTCTGTGTCCCCAAGTAACGTTTCTGTGGCCCTAACTCTGTCCCTAATACAGAGCGGTCTGCCTCTGTTCAATGACTGCAGGCAAATGAAGAATTCTAAAATGGCCGCTATTTATAGCTCGACCATTACACAGTGCTGGCTGGCTGGCTGCTGATTGGCTAATGCGATCACATGTCATTAAGGAATGCATTATGGGTCAGCGCGCTGCTTCCCAGACATCCCCGCTCCGTCGCCGCACATGTCCGCCGCCATTTTAGGAAAAAATTTCGATTCGCGCGTCCGAAGTAGGCTATTTTTCGGATTCGGCGCAAAAATTTTCCAATATTCGACTCGAATTCCACTTCGCCTACTTCGATTCGCTCATCTCTAAATAAGACTACTGGGACTCTGTACTCTGGAGTAATGAGACCAAGATCAATGTTTTTGGAAATGATGGCTTCAAACCTTTATGGCATCGCAAAGATGAGGCTTACAAAGAAAAGTGCATGGTGCCTACAGTGAAAGATGGCGGTGGCAGTGTCCTTCTGTGTGGCTGCATGAGTGCTGTTGGTGTCGGGGAGCTGCATTTCATTGATGGTATCATAAATTCACAGATGCACTGCTCTATACTGAAAGAGAAGATGCTACCATTACTCCGTGCCCTTGGTCATCGTGCACTTTTCCAACATGACAATGATCCAAAGCACAAATCTAAGCCGACTGTCGCATTTCTGAAGAAGAACAAGGTGAAAATGATTCAGTGTCCGAGTATGTCTTTTGATCTGAACCCAATCGAACACCTATGAGGAATTTTGAAGAGACAAGTTGAGCATCACTCTCCATCCAGCATCCAGGCTCTAACAGAAGTCGTTCTTGAAGAATGGAAAAAGATAGATGTTGCAATATGTCACCAACTTTCCATGCCTAGACTTGGTGCTGTCCTTACAAATCATGGAGTTCACACACAATACTAGATGGAGTAGTTTTTTTTTGTGGGGTGTATTCATTTTTGCATCAACCAACTTAAGTAAAACTGAAGATTTTGTAATCTAAGTTATATTATTTAACTTACTTTCATGTAATGAGCTAAACAAATGTTCTATAAAAACTGTTCTTGTGTTCATTGAGATATTGGTTAAAATCTTTCTTTTCAAAAGGGGTGTACAGTACTCATTTATGCTTTTATATATACACATACACTGTATATATTAGTATATATTAAGTAAAAGGAAGCCCATAATCTGCTGCAATAAATTTATTTAATTCACATTCCCATACAACTTAGTAACAGCACAGTATTTAGCACTCCATCGGCAACAGTTTTGAGTGTTGCACACTCTTTCTCAAGCTACTAATTGTAGCTTGAGAAAGACCATGAGACGTTAAAAACTGTTGCTGACTTAAAAGACTTAAAGCTCACCCAAACAGTACAAATTATATCAGAGGAGTCCCTACGGTTGGTGTCACCCGGTGCGGTAACACTTGGTGACACCCCCTCCGACAATCCCTGCAGAATGGATCAGATCTGCAGATTGAGCATAATGGATCAGACTCCGATCCATTATGCTCAATCTGCAGATCCGATCCATCCTACAGGGATTGTTGGCTTCCTTTACAACTTACCTGTTCTTAGAGCGGGTTCGGTGTCACCCCGTATAGGTTGCATGCCGACGATCCCCGCAGGATCAACGGCATGCAACCTATACGGGTTGACACCGGACCTGCTCCAAGAAAAGGTAAGTTGTAAAGAAAGCCCATGATCCCCGTAGGATGGATCAGTTCCATCCTGCGGGGATCGTCAGCTTGCTTTACAACTTACCTTTTTGTGGAGCAGGTCCAGTGTCACCCCGTGCAGTTGGTGTCACCCAGAGCGGAACGCACCCCCCGAACCTGCCTCAGGACGCCACTGAATTATATGTATACTGGTTGGAAGGGTTGTGGATGGTGTGTATGTGTCACCTAGGTTTCTCACATACAGTACACATGGTGCTGAACTGATGTGGAGAAAACAAACTTTTCGTCTACTCAGAATCATATTACATTCTGTTCTGGATCCTGGAGCCCAGATGCTTTGTACAGCTTTTGGAGGGATAAATCCTCCATTCCTGTATCCACATCTTACCTGGTAGCCAAAGTACATTTTTAGTCTCAACTGTCCACAAGTCTTTCTATATATGCTCAAGGCTTTCATCTTTCTGCTGTGGGAGCATGCTGTTGGGTAAAAAGGCTGAGTGCTGACAGGACACTAAAAATGCTGCCTGTTTGTTTTAGGGAATCCATTAGGTGGCATCCTGTAGGTCTAGAACTGACCTGACGGGCAGATATTGTTGGGGGCATCAGTCACAAGGGCTCTCAGTTCTGTACACCGGGAAGAGTTGTTTATATTTTTGGAGCAGGGCTGAGCTGTGGGCAAGTATATATAAGTGAATAAAAACAAAGGGCTGTGTGGACTCAACGGCACAGCCGATCTTTACAGGTACAAAGGAATGGGTTGCCAGTTGACATTTTTTTTGTAGTTGGCTAATTTGGATGCAGGGCTGCACTGGATACCTTGCTGTCATTTTGGTATAGCTGGGCGTCACATGCGTCCCTGTACCTTTAACGAGGGATGGGTTCCTCCAGGCACACCTGCCCTTAACCTATCCATTGATACATGTGCTCCTACTATGGAGGCTCTGGAAATTTTAGAGTTAGGTCCCCAGTATATAGCGGACCCTTGACGAGGGACTGTGGCTTACACATGTATTTGCAAATGTGTGCAAACAAAACTGTTTTTAATGCAAACTGTTAGGCTACGTTCACACTAGCCTTGTTTTCAAGCGGCAGAACGGTGTTTGGGAAGCGTTTTTACCGCTTCCCAAACACCTCGGACAATTCTGCCCATTGCAGCACATGGTGCTGTTCTAACGGGAGCGGCAGCGTCGCGGTGCGGCAAAACGGACGCCTCTGGTCGAGTCAGGAGGCGTTGAAGCCTCCTATTCTAGTCTATGGTGCCGCTCCGCAAACGCCCGGCCAGCGTTTGCGGTGCGGGTTGCGACGCGTTTGCGGAACGGTAACACCATCCAAACTTCATTATAGGCGTTTTTGGGCGTTTTTAACGCTCGGCAAATGCCTAGCACCCGCTGCTGAACCGCGTATGCGGCGTTTGTGGAGCGTTAAAAACGTTCCGCAAATGCCGGACCAATGCTTGGCAAATGCTATAGGGGCATTTGGCAAGAGTTGGTAAAACAGTCAAGTGTGAACGAGCCCTTAGACAGGGCCAAATTGGTTGTTTTGCAGGCTGGGCGGTAAGTGTTGCTGGGAAAGCCTTTGTTTGCTTGCGGTGTGCATTGTCCTTCCATGTGCACCTTACTTCTAAGGCTGGTTATAGGTTGGGACGGTTGCCATTTTTTGTTTAGTTGGCTACACAGCCCCGAATACACACTGTCTGCACTCGGGTTGTGCACCTGGGTGCCTGTATTATGCTTTTATGCTAGGGGCGTGCTGTACAATGCCCTCCTGCACTGAAGACTGTTTGTTTGCTGTCTTGTTGAATAGAAGTGTAGGACACACCTGCTTGGATTGTTCCTGGATGTTCCTGTCATGTGCATGATTTGCACGCTGTCACTGCCAGTGGAGCCTGTCCCTATTACGATATACAGTATATATATATATATATATATATATATATATATATACATACACACACTGTATATATATTATCACATATACAATGTCACAGGTTTTTTTTTGTTTTTTTGTTCTAAATTGTCACAAAATGAAATCACTTTTTGGTAAATCATTTTATTCTTTTTTGTATACTGTCTCCTGCAGGTTCAGATAACTACTCACTGTCAGAGGATAAATAGGACCACCATGGCTCTGTGATGGGTTTGGTCCGGTGACCAGGCCAGACTGAGTTATCTGGGGAAGGGTTTTGCTGTAAGGAAATGACAAATACGTTACCCAATATCCCTGTGAATGTGTTTTACAATATCGTATATCAGTGAGCACAACTAATTACATACATAGTGACATAAAGTATCATTAGTCATACCGGCATACGCAACTGGGCAAACCTCTCACCTAGTGAGTAGCAACTAAAATTTAAAAAAAAAAAGGGGACACATCTGTGGGGGGACTGACATTGGAAACCTGGGCACTGCCTGAGGTCCCGGGGTCAGTAGGGGCCCATGAGTTGCAATCAAAAAAGGGGGTTGTGAAAAGAGTTTCACAGAAAGCGGCTACATTATGACAGACCGTGGAAAATTTTCAAAAAATATGCTTTTATTAACAGATATAAATATGACATATGGCAGTTACCATCACACAACATAGGGTTAAACACTTCCCAAAAGAGGTGTATCAAAAATTATACAGAGGTATACCCTTTAAATATTAAATAATGAATTCATACCCCAATAACATAAGGTAAGCTGACTGAATCATCAGACCTGGAAATTGCATCCAAGACAAAAACTCCTTGCACCTCAATAAATCAGACATAGAATCAAATGTATTTTTTATGTTGAGTGCAAGCATGCTAAACAATATGAAAGAGAAACATTTATGAAAAGTCTCACAGAGGTAACAGCACTCCCTTGACAATGACTTTATTTGCTTTTACTTTTCAGAAGCACGGCACCATGTTTGTTCAGTCATTACCCTGGAGTGAGATAATAGGATCATGTACATCCTGATGCCTGTGCAGTTCTTGGCTGCGTTTACAAATCTCGGACACAGATCAGCCCCTACTGCAACCTCTCACACCACTATAAATTAGTGACAGTTGTACCAAAAATTACAATATTGTTGTCTGATCACTGGAAGACGGAGACTGAGGAAATGCGTTCGCTTGCTTGCAGGGCAGCGGGGTACCATGTACTGGCTTACAAATTACAGAGGTGGGAGCTGTTTTATTCTTTGACTATATGCCTATACTTCTAGACTCTTCTGAGATAATTAAGAGGGACATCTTTTAGCAAAAAATATTCTTGCTTTCCTACAAAAAAAAAAAAAGGACACATGCAGGGGCGGGAATTCACCTATTATGATATTGGGACCTCTGACCATTTAGACTCTTGCAGTCACTTTTTCTGTTTGGAAACCTGGGCACTGCCTGAGTGTCATAATTTTTGGGGTCAGTAGGGGGCCCATGAGAATGAAACCCCCGATAACTGGTACCTTTTTCATAGGCTTTTTTAGGCTTTTTTGAGTTTGGGCAAGGCCACAGGGGCCCCATCATCCCTTATTGCCCGGGGGCCCCATGAGTTGTCAGTCCGACCCTGGACACATGCCCGTCATGTTTCCAGCTATTCAGCCATTGAAGAATTAAAGTGGATGGAAACGTGAAGAATAATGAACGGTATAAATGGTAACTCTGTTGTCATTTTTTCACACCTATATGCTTCATTAATAAAAATGGCCATTAATGGCCACCTGTAGCCCCATGTTTTGCTGCTGTGACAGCTAACCGTGGGTCTGGGTCCTTTTGCTCATGGGTGGCGGGCAGGGATCTCTCTGAAGACTGATATTGGCAAGAAAAGTAAAGTCACTACTTCAGACTCCACTGAGCATTGTCGAATCTAAGAAACTATACCCTAGCATGCACAGTACAGGACAGATTCCAAGGCACCAGGCGGTGCATACAGAGTAGAGACCGATGTGCCAAGACTAACGAAGACAGGCATGCGCAACAGAGAGAGTCAAGTGCCAAGACTAAGTGGCATATGCACAGTACAAGAAAGGTCCAATGTGTCCATAAAGATGATCTGCACAACCAATGTCACTCCAAAATCCTGCTTTTATTCAGAAAACCACAGTGTACAAAATGCAAATATAGTCAGTTGACACATTTCAACCTACACGGCCTTAATCATAACTGTTGTTATGATTAAGGTCATGTAGACTGAAACACGTCAACTGACTGTATTTGCGTATTGTACACTGTGGTTTTCTGTATAAAAGCAGGATTTGAGAGCGATATCGGTTGTGCAGATCATCTTTATGGACTATTACTTTCAGATGTGCAACTGCGGATCAGCACCCATGAGTTATATTAATACAACACTTAGTGAGTAGTAGCACTGGACTTTTTATTTGTGCTAAAAGGTCCAATGTGACTATTGAATAGAGACTATTGAAGCGGCACTGACAGCACCTGAGGAATTATCCATTTGCATAGTAGCTGAGTAGCATTGTGTGCCCATCACCGGAAACAAGCTTACGCAGCAACTCAAGGTAATAACTGAAGAGGAAAAAATGAGCTTATCAGGATTGAGAGCACAATATAGAAATCTTGGAACAGTCCCTTGTAAAGTTTGCCTGGAGAGACGCTTTAATGTGCAAGAAAAGATTGGTTGAACCCAGATGTGCTTTTTAATCAAATCTTTTTTATACCAGCATTTCAAAATACTAATCATAATTCTTTAGGGGTTGAATGAAAGAGTAAGTATAGTATAACTTTTTTTTTTAAAGTTTTTCACTTGCCATACATACAACAATGACAATCAATGTGACAGCTGAACATTACATTTCTTACATTACGTACATTTCTTACATATCAGTAGATAGCCAGCTATTCAACACAACAGAGCATGCATACAGTTCAGTTAAGGGTTCCAATCTCATATATTCAAAATAAATGATAGTGTTCAGTTTGTATAATACTGCTATTGCTTATACGTGTATAGACAGGTGCAGTCTGTTTTTTCCACTGTAGGTTGAGCTCATCCAGAGCTGCAGGGCAGTTGGAGAAGTCAAGAGAAACTTGACTTCTCTATGGTTCCCCTGGTCCCCTGGAGCAGTGTTCTGGTTGGCTATGCTGCATCCAGGTGACCCTGGTGGCCATCTTTGGGTCACAGAGTCTTTTTAAGTTCCTGCCCCTAGGTTTTGGCATGCTTTTGTGAAGTGGCTAATATAGAGAGATTA